CATTATATAACATATTTTCAGCTTGTGTGTTTTCCCATCCTTGTCTTTAGTGTCGATGGAGGTATTAACAATATATTTACATTATATAACATATTTTCAGCTTGTATGTTTTCCAATGCTTGTCTATAGTGCCGATGGGGGTATTAACAATATATTTACATTATAAAAAAGGAATTCTTTTACTTAAATTGGTAGTGAATATTGCGATCAATAGTTAGATAATTTAAACAGACGGAAAACAAATGTAAAAGTTGATGTCATCAGAATTGCATGATTATAGTTCGTGGCTTTGATAATCAGTTTTTAAACACTTAACCTGGTGACTGATTGTTCTTGTTGTAGAATACAATGATTGATAGCACTGAAGAAGGAAGAGTTCAGTCTGTGATTAGAAACTTGAAGAGAGCTAATTCGTGCGACTCACCTTCACCTTCCCAGTCACTTATTTCTTTCGACTCTGGAACCTCTCCCGGCAGCGAAGGTGGTACTTCTGTTTTCAGACATCAGTTTTCCTTTGAATCGGATTCATATTGTGATCCAGAGGATTTCTTTTCTGAAATTGTCAGTATGTCCGGGACAAATGATTCAGCCGTTTCTCTAGAACCACCTACAAAAGTGCCATGCTCAGTAAGTCCTCAACTTCAAACTTCGGAGGGTTCAGAGAGAGCAGATGAAGAAAGCAACCCATCTGATTCAGGTGTCGGTCACGTACTACCGGTTTCTGATGAAGCCACTACTGGAAAGAATACTCGTACCAAAGAGCTGGAGTTTATGGAACTTCACACAGTACTCAGGACTCTTATAAGGTTTGTACATAAACTAAGAATTTTAAATAAACATAACGAAATATTTGGTGCAGCATTTTGAAAGACCTACTAAGTTTTGTGTATTAGATAATGTCTATCTCAATATCTGGGACCGTTATAACTTGCAAACTGTACTCAATCTACCATTTCGAAGTCCCTTCTACAAACTGACTTGTGTTGTAATCAGTTAAAGAGAACATCAAAGTCTGTAAGAAAGATACCTTCTAATTTATGACACAATTCACTGCCCAGTGTCCGTAGAACTCTAGTTGTTTTTATATTTACTTAAAGAATAGTTATACATGCATTGGTTATTACACTTACAGATATTAATTGAATTTTTAGAGAGGTGTCAACTGCATCTGATCGAGAAGAGAAGATAGAAGCCTCTACTTCTGGTGGTACACAGAATTCTGGTTTCTGTAAACAGTCGTCCTATCACACACCCACTACTGTTCTTAAAAGTCCTAGAGCATTACAACAAGACACTTGCACGAAAACACACTTACTATACAACACTTACCTTTCAAGTAGCATGGATGGGCAATATGAACTGAAGATTTTAAAGCAGCCAGAACAACAACACCGTGCTCGATACTTGACTGAAGGTAGTCGGGGAGCAGTAAAAGACCAAAACGGGACAGGATATCCTGTTATTAAAGTAAGAATAATTCTAAAAACAAATTCATTTTACAGTAAATTGAGAACAATGTGAAAATATTCACCTTATCAGTAAAAAAAAGTAAAATGTTATCACAGAGAAGACTTTTTTTGTTTTCCTCGATCTGAACAATAGTAAAAGGAGCATACATGTTATATAAACAAACAGGATGGTTACTATTTATTAGGTTTTTTTAGTCTCTAGTTGTATAAATACATATAAACAGATTCTATATCACAGACAACTGAGACACAACAGTATAATTAACCAAAAGTATTATTACTCATTTCTTCTCTCAATAGTTCTGCTTATAATACCCTTTTTGTTTATTTAGATTCTTTATTGGAATTATTTTGCTCAGAAAATTTGGAATTTATTTGCTTAAACTTAGATAACTCGTAACTATGAGTGAGGAATAAAAATCCTGTTTTATTACTGTTACAACTTACAGGAATACAGATACCTAAAGGTTCATATTGTTAAGACTTTATAGTATTTGAAGTTGGTTTTAACGATACTTTGTTCTAGTGTTGAATATAATACCAATATTGTTATCCTTGCACATAAACTAACTTAATATACAAATTCATGCTAAACACATTTTTATTTTGATATTAAAAGTTTTAAATTTGACAAAAAAAAAAGATGATATTGAGCATGTATGTGAATAACGTCCATGTTTTAAAACTTGTTTAATGATAAGTAAATATTGTATCTATCTAGCTATCTAGGTACAAACAACCCGTGACGTTACACGTCTTTATTGTATCTATCTAGCTATCTGGGTACAAACAACCCGTGACGGTACACGTCTTTATTGTATCTATCTAGCTATTTGTATACAAACAACCCGTGACGGTACACGTCTTTATTGTATCTATCTATCTATCTGGGTACAAACAACCCGTGACGGTACACGTCTTTATTGTATCTATCTAGCTATCTGGGTACAAACAACCCGTGACGGTACACGTCTTTATTGTATCTATCTAGCTATCTGGGTACAAACAACCCCGTGACGGTACACGTCTTTATTGTATCTATCTATCTGGGTACAAACAACCCGTGACGGTACACGTCTTTATTGTATCTATCTAGCTATTTGGGTACAAACAACCCGTGACGGTACACGTCTTTATTGGAACTGACCAAGGAAAGATATTTCCTCACCTTTTCTACCAGGCCAGCAAGGTTTTAGGAAAGTATTCCACTTCCTGTTTAGAGACAAAGATTGAAGGTACGAATGTCCTGGAGATTGAGATGACTCCACAGAAAGACATGACTGTAATGTAAGTTTTATAAAAAAAATTGGTTCCGATAGTTTTAGCATCAGAATAAAAATAAACTAATCATATCTAACAGTTCGTGTTCCAACTTTTAATAAACAGATGAATCGACATCATCTCGGTCAGGAAACCCGTTAAAGAACGATAACTAATCCATGAAACTTGGAATGACCCAGTCTATCAACAAAAAAACAGTTAGAACTTATTAATATAACATCAGTTCCAAAATCTACAAGTAACCTCACAATGTATACTGGTAATATTTTGTATACTTTTTAGTATTTCTACAGTGTTTATTAAAGAGATTTTGAAAACTTAATTAAAATACTGTTTTGGGATTAAAACAACTACCTCCAATCCAAGAAACAGAATACATATATATATAAGGGTATGACCTTCTTGAGTGTAATAAATAAATATATATATGAATATTCAAAGAACAATCAGGTTTTAAATATCGTATCTTATATTTGATTTCTGTAGATTATAAATCAAATACATAAATAAAAATATAAAATATTTTGAACCTGGTGGTGCTTTCAATAAATATAGATATATATACATGATATAAAAACACAATGTGTAGATGTATCATGTTTTTTAAAAGACTTATAAGTTTAGTTAATTCTCCTTTGAAGCTGTGATTGTCTTGGAATCTTGAAAGAAAGAAATGCTGATGTGGAACACCGTCTAACACTTTTGGGTGGAACATGTCGCAGTAAAAGGAGAACCACCCGTTGTCGATTTATTTTTTGTGTTCAAATTCCTAAAAGTGACGGGACATTTGAAACCTTACAAGAAGCATCAAGCTCAATAATATGTAGTAAGGGTTTTTATATTTTTTAAAGATATTCCTGAAAAAATGTATACAATTAACAGAAAAAAATATATCTATATCTTCAATTTTTTTATTTCTTTCCGAAGTCTTTAAAACGTATGAACTAATATAAGGTCAGGTGGAAATATTATTTAAGAATGAGCATTTTTTTTTTACTGAAGTGATTATATAATTAAGAACTTTTCAGATGACCCCCCCATTGTTTGCCACTTGAAGTCAACCTATTTAATATCCAAACAATGCTTGAAACTGCCAGGAAGTAAAACACACTCCAGTGAACAATACTCACCTTATCTGACTCGAATCTTGTCGACCTTATTGGTCCAACAGTGGTGTTAGAAACTGATCTGCAGCATAAAGCATGGATGGTCCCGAATCGTATCCCACGGGGCTACACAAATACACACTTAAAACACCCCTACATGACATAAAACTCAAACAGTCGACTACGTTATAAATTCGTGCCCAAGAAGTTGCTTTTTTGGAAGGTATCGGTAGCCTCCTTGAGGTGGCACCATCAACTGGATCCCAGGTCCCGATATACAACTCTAATTTCTCCATATGTTTTAGTTTAGAAACCAATCCATGTTCGTTAGTTGTAGCTTACTTATTAATTGAAAAACATGGTTTCACTTCATACACTGCATTAAAATTTATACAACCTATTCACTGTAGAGAAGAATTTTTTTTTTGCAATGTGGCATCTTCGATGGGATCATCTTCATTACAAAGTTCATGTTATTTCTGTTTAATGATTAATTAATATTACTAGGAATTTCACTGATTATAAAACTTATTTTGGCCCACAAGTGAAATTTAACTGATATATAAAACTACACATACAATTACTATCATTAATTAATGTGTTGTTTACCTTTCTACAGGAAAATATATATATATTATTAAAGAATATGACAAAGGTTAAATTATAATTTCTGCTGTTATCTAAGAACCTTCTTCTAACACATTGAATTCTTCAACTGATTCAATCACACTGAATGAATCTTAGAACCCTCTTCTAACACATTGAATTCTTCAACTGATTCAATCACACTGAATGAATCTGAGAACCCTCTTTTAGCACATTGAATTCTTCAACTGATTCAATCACACTGAATGAATCTGAGAACCCTCTTTCAGCACATTGAATTCTTCAACTGATTCAATCACACTGAATGAATCTGAGAACCCTCTTTCAGCACATTGAATTCTTCAACTGATTCAATCACACTGAATGAATCTGAGAACCCTCTTTCAGCACATTGAATTCTTCAACTGATTCAATCACACTGAATGAATCTGAGAACCCTCTTTCAGCACATTA